TACATTCATCGTCATCTTTATGACTTTATCCAGTGTTCCTAAGTTTGAGCTTATATGCAGCAAGGCAGATCTGGAAGCTAAACATTCCCATGCAGTGACTAAAAAGAAAGCTCTGTTTTAGGCAAGTTGAACTTAAACCTGATCCTTATATTTTTTTTAATTGTGCAACTTGAAATAATCATTGAGTTTTTCAGAATCTTGGTATCATAACCGAAGAAGACTGGAAAAGATAATAATACATATTCTTTTTTTATTGTACTTTAGGTGAAGGTTTACAGAACAAATATTTTCTCATTAAACAGTCCGTACACGTATTGTTTTATGACATTGGTTAACAACCCCATGACATTGCAACACTCTCCCTTCTTTTTTTTGGGGGGGTGAAAATATACATAGCCAAAGATACACCATTTCAAAAATTTCTACATGCACAATTCAGTGACATCGATTACGTTCTTCCAGTTGTGCTGCTATTCTCACTTTAGATGAAGGTTTACAGAACAAAATAGTTTCTCATTAAACAGTTAGTACACATGTTGCCCTGTGACAATGGTTAAGAACCCCACTACATGTCAACACTGTCCTTACTCAACCTTGGGTTCCCTATCACCAGCTTTTCTGTCCGCTTCTGCTTTCTAGTCCTTGTCCCTGGACTGCTGTGCCTCATTAGTACCGTTTTGCTTTATGGGGCTGTCCGATCCCCGGCTGAACACTGAACCTCGGAAGTGACTTCACCACTGAGCTAAAAGGGTGTCTGGAGGCCATACTCTCGAGGTTTCTCCAGTCTCTTTCAGGCCAGTAAATCTGGTCTTTTTTGTGTGTGTTAGAATTTTGTTCTACATCCTTCTCCAGCTCTGTCCAGAACCCTCTGTTGTGATCTCGGTCAGAGCAGTCAGTGGTGGTAGCCGGGCACCATCTAGCTGTACTGGACTCAGTCTGGAGGAGGCCTTGGTAGCTGTGGTGCATTAATCCTTTGGACTAATCTTTTCCTTGTATCCTGTTCTCCTCTTCATTCTCCCTTGTTGCCGAAGGGATGAGACCAGTGGAGTATCTTAGATGGCCGCTCACAGGCTTTTAAGACCCCAGACACTACTCACCAAGGTAGAATGTAGAACATTATCTTTATAAACTGTGTTATGCCAGTTGAGCTAGATGTTCCCCGAGACCATGGTCCCCACAGCCCTCTGCCCAGCAGTTCAGTCCCTCAGGGAGTTTGGATGTATCTATGGAGCTTCCATGACCTTTCCTTGTACAAGTTTTGCTGGCTTCCCCAGTATTGTGTACTGTCTCACCCTTCACCAAAGATACCACTTATCTATTGTCTATTTAGTAATAATACATATTCTTTAAGACTCTTCACAGGATTTATGGAAATGAAATAATGCGTATTAAGTGCTCAGCACAGTACTTGGCACAAATAGTACAACCTATTACAATCACCTTCATCAAAATCCTCATCATAAAATTATCCTTGCTGTCACCAAGAATGTCCATAGCAACCAATCTAAATCATTAATGCCTGAACATTGTTATTTAAACCCCAGAATGGAATTGAAATCCCTGGTGTTAGAGTGACTTTTCATTTTTACCGTAACACTTATATTGAGTATTTTTAGAGTAAACCCCCTACTGCTAATTTTTCTAATCTGTATAGATTGGCATAGGAAATCCATAGCCATGAATCCTCATCTAAAGATCTGCTTGTAGACAATGCTACCTAATTGTCTTAGTTATCTACTGCTGCTACAACAGAAATATCACAAGTGGGTGGCATTAACAAAGAGAAATTTATTCTTTCACAGTCTAGTAGTCTAGAAGTCTGAATTCAGGGCCCCAGCTCCAGGGGAAAGCTTTCTCTCTCTGTTGGTTCTGAGGGAGGGTCCTTGTCATCAATTTTACCCTGGTCTAGGAGTTTCTCAGCGCAGGGAACGCAGGTCCAAAGGACATGCTCTTCTCCTGGCGCTACTTTGTTAGTGGTATGAGGTCCCCCTGTCTCTCTGCTGGCTTCTCTCTTTTATATCTCAAAAGAGATTGACTCAAGGTACAACCAAATCTTTTGGATGGAGTCCTGCCTCATTAAGATAACTGCCTCTAATCCTGCCTCATTAACATCACAGAGATACGATTTACAACACATAGGAAAATCACATCAGATGACAAAATGTTGGACAGTCACACAACACTGGGAATCATTGCCTAGCCAATTTGACACACATTGTTTGGGGACACAATTGAATCCATAACACTAATGAACAAATGGAAGAAGCAAATTTTTCCTAACGAGGTACCATAAATAGTCCCATTTTCCAGGAAATATACTAACATATAGAGGATTAGTATTACTAACTGCAAGTTCCTTTTTTGTTTTAAAGTATTTTTCATAATAATGATACCAATATATGAAGTGCCTATATAACTTGTACAGTTTCTGTATCATGTGCTGCACAGAACTAGATCAAGTCAGTTTTATATATGTTGGTTAATGTTTACTCTGGGGAGCATCTGAAATCAAATGTTTTCATCTTCAACAGATTGGCTTTGTGAAAAAATATATATCTATTAGTATATTTATTCTAATTTGATCCATGGAATAAAAGTATTATTTTTCAACCCTAGTTTCCTTAATCCTTTACCATTTTACAAATGCTTGAGAGTGCTTCTTCAGTTTGTTTATTAGGTAGGTGTCTTGGGAAGTGTTATCCAAAGGCAGACCTTTATATGAGGATGCATGGATATGTGATCTATTAAGGAAGTTCTCCCAGGAAAAAGCAGTAAGAGAGTAGAGGAAGCAGGAAAGGGAATCAGTCACCCCAAATAAGTGTGGGATTTAGTCAAAGTCTCAACCTCAGCTTGATTTCGTGGAGTTCTCCGGAGCTGAAATTATACCACAGAATTTTTGTTCTGTTTGAGACAAGGGAGCTGGGTTTTCAAACTCCCACTTCACATAGGCATTGGCTATGGGCCTGCCCAGGGGACATAAACTTCCAGGAACTTCTGGCCTTGAGCTCCAGTAGCCCAAGGGTAGTTCTCTGAAGAAGACTGCAGTTACCCCACCATCCCACCCTAGGAGATAAAAGCACAGCACAGGTAAACTGGATCCAAGAGCATCGACAGCGTTCGCTAGAGTGTTGGGTTTTTGTTTCTTTGTTTGATGATGGTGTCTGTTGATAAATTATGTTATTTAATCTAGATAATTATTTGGTAAACATAGCGGGTCAGTTATGGGAATTTTGATTGATCACTATGTTTGGTGTAAATAAAAGTAGGGCTTAGTGCTCTCAAATAATTTTGAATTTCATTCTAAGAAGGGCAACACATGAAAAAAAGAAGAAAAAATACATATACAAGTGAAATTTAGTACTGAGCATAGCAATCTGATGCGTGTGCTTAGGATGGAATGATAAGGAATACAATCCTTAGTATGGGTATTTTGCCTAAAATTTTAATAAATATAAAATGATCAAGAGAAAAAGATGTATTCCCCATGGAAAATATCATATGCAGAACTGAGTTGGAAGTAATTCAATTACATGTCACATATCTTTAGATTTAAAGTCTTTGACAACTCATATGTATATTTCAGTTATGACCAGTTCTACATTTTATTTGCAGTAACTTGGATTGGAGCCTTAGTGGTGCAGTGGTTAAGAGCTATGACTGCTAACCAAAAGGTCAGCAGTTGGAATCCGCTGGCTGGTCCTTGGAAACCGTGTGGGGCAGTTCTACTTTGTCATATAGGGTCACTATGAGTCGGAATCGACTTGACAGCAACGGGGTTTTTGTTTTCTTTAAACTTGGATTAAAACATGGAATTTTGGAATTTCACATTGGCCAGTGGCCATAAAATAGATGGAAAGACTAATATGAAAAATGACTGATTTGAGAGTAAAATTTTCTTGACATATTATAATGCAGAACTGAAACCATTAACATAAAATGTAACACTTCTATTTACAAAAAAAATCAGTTGCACAAAGACAGAATTGTCACAGAAGGTAGAGGCCCAGTATAATCTAAGAATGTTTTGTGGCTGGTAGAAATAATAATGCAGTCTTACGGTGCTTTCTTAAGAGTCCTTGCTAACTGAAAGGTTAGCTGATTGTCCACCCAGAGGTGCCTATGAAGAAAGGTCTGGCAATCTACTTCCAAAAACCAGCCATTGAAAACCCTATGGAGTGCAGTTCTACTGTGACACACATGGGGAATTGACTTGATGGTAACTGTTCTGTTTTGTTTTTTAACAGTGCTTTCTTAGGATAGAATATACAAGTTATGGAAGGTAATAGTTCTCTCTGCTGGTTGAATAACTTTTGTAGCATTGCTTTCAGTTCTCAGACACATGTAAAGAAGAACACAAAACAAGAGGGTCATCTAAAGAAGTTAGACTAGTATGTGAAAGATTTGGAGACTGTGCAGTGACAAGAACCCTTGTATGTTCTAAATGTTTGGAATCTGAAGAAGGTAAACCATAGAGAAAATATGACTGTTTAAATACTAGAAGGACTCTAATAGGGGTCAGATTGTAGATTTGTTCTGTGATGCTCTGGACAGAACTTCTGAAGTTAAAGCTCTCCAGTTATGGAATAGGCTGTCTCTGAGGCATGAGCGCTTCCTCCCTGATAGTGTTACCTAAGGCTAGAGACCATTTATCTGGGAGTCAATAGAAGAGGAACGTAAGTGAGTTACCTCTGAGGCACCTTCAACTCTAAAATTGCCTGCATCTGTGTTTGTGAACTTGCACAATTACAAGCTGTGTTCTAGAGTACACATAACAGTGAAATTTGCAATCTCTGTTAAAAAGATTTAAAAGTAACAATTTTTTAAACCATTCAAATGGATATACTAGGTGGTTACAAATATGTTTTAAAGAATAAATGATGCATAATTCATGCCTTGATCATTAAGGGCATTTGATCCATTTGATATTCTTTAAAGTATTTTGTTGTATTTAAAGTATCTGGAAATTTTATTTTATTGAAATGTAATGTTTGCACTTTTAGGTTTTCTCTGCCGGTTACTGCAACAGCAGAAAACTGCATTCTTACTCTTCACCCATATATGGCAATTCATCTTCATAACCGAAAAATTGTTTTAAAGAATGGTAAGTTACATGAGTCTTTTCTAACTCTCACAGTATACATTCTTGTTATCTAAGGCTGACATCTAAAAATAAAGTGAATTTAAAACTAATGTAGGTTTGTTAAACATCTAAAATTGCTAGGAGCTGTGCTTATCATTGAGAGTAGAATATGAAAGTATCTCAATTCCAGAAGTAGACAATTTAGTGAAATACCCACAAATAAAATTAATACAAAGAAGTTTGAATCAAGAACTCTCTATATGAGTCCTTTGAAGTGTTTCACATGTGCAGATTGTGCAGAAATTAATGCTGATGCTGGTGGTTTGGGATAAATTTATAGAAGACCTAACATATTTGGTAGAGCTTGATAAATGATGACCTTGAACAGAATGATTTGGGAAAAAAGACAGTATAGCAAAAGTATTGGAGTGTGATGGGAGATATAAGACAGGCAATGTACCTAGGGGCCATACCACTGGGCACTTTATTCTGAACATAGCAGGAAACCTTCTGTGGTTTTCAAGTATCATTGATTTAGAAAGACAACAGTTGGTGGGGTGTAAGATGGATTAGAGTGGGACAGAGAGTGGCCAATAGACCAGTTGGAAGGTGCTGTAGGGGAAATGATGAGATGGTCTAAAAACAATAGAAGAGAAGCTAGTGAGGAGGGAGATATTTGAAATACAAAACAGAGGGGAATGTAATTGATGGAGTAAATCCCAGAGGACAAGAAATGATGGAGAATGGGAGAAAAATCCCCTGCATGCAGACTGTCAAAGCCTTAACTTTCAGTGCTGATTGAGATGTCTTCTCTTATATTTAACCAAGTTTTCTCCAGTTCTCTATACTAGTTTCTTCAAATCTTTACCATTCTTATGAAATCTATTCAGTCTTGTTCTACCTCTGTCTGAATCTTTTTATGACTTTTCAGAAGAACTAGAGACCACCAGGCAGGAACACTCTGAACTTCTAAACACCAAGCATGCATTGGAAACCATCATCTCCTTTCTCTCATTTTGCAAAGCTAGGAGCCAGAACTCTCTCCTGCCTTAGATCATTCCTTTCTCTGAATGCCATTACCCAGGGACTTCACTTCTCAACCAACCTTGCTTTCTCTTGCACTTCAACTTCTACCTCCCTCTTAGCTGCTTTGGGGGAGTTTCCAGTTATGACAGCAGGGAGGAGAGGGGAGACTTTATCCTCTTAGTGGACAGACTCATTCCCAAAGAGGAAAATGGGAGGACTCAGTCCATACATACCCAATTCATTTCCCCCAAATTTACCAATCAGGTAAGTCACTGCATTCCCCAGGGAGGGGGAGGAAAGGAGCTGAGGAAACCAAGCACTTAGCATACCTCCCTTGACCATCAAGGTAACATCAGGGATGGGGAGGAAGCATTATACATTATATAATATATGCCTAGTTGACTTCTTGGCAGCATTTGACACTGTTAACTATTCTTTTTCTTTAAATTCTCTCCGGGCTTCACATACAATACCCCCTTAATGACTGAATTATTTTCTGCTTTTAATTTTTTTGTTGATGTAAGGTTTTTTTTCATTAATGGAATGCATGCTGAATCACTGAGTGTGTCTGAATGTTTGGTAGGTATTATGGGTAATATGTGGGGTACATATGTCCCTCTGGACTCTGGGGGTAAGATTGGTAGGATGAGGCAAGAAAAAAAATCATGTTATCTTAGCAATTTGATTTTATTTGGTGAAACTTTTCAAAACATGGTATAACATATAAAAGCACCTTGCAATGGCTGCACATAATTGTGGTTCGAGTCTCCATCTCTTTAGTGCTGCAGTCTCTGCATTGCCTTGTAGATCCCTTGGCAGGTACATACAATACATGGCACCTGAAAATGAGGTATTCAAATTCCAAATAAAACACAGGAACCCAGAAATATGCTTACAAGGTTTACCTCGCTGTACAAAAGCCAAAAGAGATAAAATTTTTGCACACACCTAATACAATACCCTGTAAAAACAGTAATCTCCAGCACATGCCCATTTCTTTGGTTTCGAACAGTTATACAGGTCCACCAGGGGTGGGTTAACCAGTAAGCAAAGTATGCACAGGTTTAGAATAAGCAAGGTATGCATGGGTTTACTTGCGTTTGCTTACTAATCTGTACTGCACAATTTCACGAGTTTCACTGCATCTTTGTTGTGGTGAAAAAAAGGTGAAATTGTAAACTACCCGTTAATAAGTAAGCACAAGTAAGCCCATGCATACCGTGCTTATTGGGTAATCCATCTCTGCAGGTCCCTCCCTGCCAGGAGCACTTACTGTCAGTGGGAAAGCAGTTTCCCAAGAAACTCCAGAGAGAGAAAATGTAGGTGGGACACTATATGCCCCGCAGTTCATCAAATGGATACTTCCCTGGGTCTCTTCTCGCCTCTCTGATTGTTCTTTCTGAGCAAACTTTGTGGGTTCCACTTCCTCCTCTACCTGTCCTTTTAAATGTTCTATATCAGTGAGGGTTCTCCCTTCACCGTTCTTTTCTTATCCCTTCCATGACTTTAATTATAATCCTTGGGTTTTATCTCCAGCCCAGTGTTTGCTCCAGAGAATCAGGACTGTATATTCACCTACCTTCTGGACATCTTTCCTTGGATGCCCACAGGCACCCAAACAACAGTAGGGCCCAAACTGAACTCCTTTTTTGAAGTATCCTTTTTCTGTATGCCCATATTTGTAGATGCATCTACCATCTAGCTCCATTTATCTCAGTGCCCGATCTGGAAACCTTAGTAATCCTTGACAATGTCTTGTCTCTCACACTCTGCTTCAAGTCCACCAGTCCCTATCCTTTCTGCCTCCTAAACATCTCTCAAATCCATCCACTTCTCTCCCTTTCCACTGTCACTTTCCACACTCAGGCTGCCATACTGTCTTTCCAGGATTACTCCAAAGGTTTCTAAACTGTTCTCCTGCCTCCTATGATGTTCCCTCCTTTCCCAATCCATCCTTCACACTTAAGCCAGAAGGATCTTTCTAAACCAGAAATCCAATCATTTCATTCTAAGGCATAAAATATGTCCATAAAATCTCATTGCTGCTAGGATGAAGCCTACAAATGCCCCCACATGACATTGCCCCAGCCAATGGCTTCATTCTCCTTTTATTCTCATTTTGCCCTCTCTGCCCAAGCCACATTAAACTTTTTGAGTTCTTTCAGACTCTTGATCTTTGCTGATAAGCTTACTTGTGACTGGAGCATTTTCTTCCCCCATCGCATCATTTTGCCAAGGTAGTCCCTACTCATCCTACACGAGATTCTTGCCCTTGAATGTAGGGATATTATGTTCCTCCAATGTACACTCATAGCACTGTGCAAGTCCACTGTCATGCATGGCTGTTACCACAGTGAGATGTAACCTGCCTATTATCTATATCCCTTTCTAATGTTGATATTTTTTAAGGTCTGTAAGTCCAGGTATCATATCTCTCCTTTTCACCCATGCATCCACATGGCACAATAAATGTATTTAATGAATATAGAATGGATTGCCTGAATTTTGGACCAGTTAGGAAGGCATCCCTTAGCAATACATGTTCATCAGGGAATGTAAAATAGTATATTCTGAGCACCATCTTGGTGGTTAATTTTGATTTTAAAGCAATTTATGGAATAATTCTATTGACAGTATGGGATATATATATTATATGGATATACATACATATGCATATATATAGCTCATGTTTCACAACTTTGACACACACTGGCAAAATTAAAAAGATTTTCTGACTAATCCTAATGTTATATTCTTCTGATATACTAGGGGAAGAGGTTTTAGCTAGCATGACATAGTGGAAAGAGCAGTAGATGAAGAGTCACCAGTTTGCCATATGATTTTATTTCTCACATCCTCAAATATCTCATCTGTTATTAAAACAAAATGTGGGATGGGGAGAGTAGCTGGATATTAACAATACGTGTTTTACCTATTTAGAAGGGCTTTCGTGAGAAATCATAGACTGTAACCTGAAAGGTATTATTACTACTATCATTATAATATTATTATTATTATAACTGTTATTATTATGGCTTTCTTTATGTTTTATATTTTTTCATAATATACTTCCAGGAAATAATGAGAAGTTTCAGTATAATAAATAATATTCCGATCTCTTTAAAAGGAAAAATGAATAAAGTCTTTATGTTTCCTAGATGATTATTTGAACAAGAAAACTATGGGTTAAAAATAATGCATCCATTTGGGGAAATATTTCTAAAGAGAGACATCATGATTCTCAAATATTCCAGAATATCTTTTAAAATAAGTGTAATATATATTTAGTGCTTTCCAGGTGTAGGGTGTTCTGCTAAATGCTTTATGTCCATTATTTCATTTAGTCCTCCCAACAACTGAGTTAGATACCCTTAATAACCTACTTTACAGATTAGGAAACTGAGTCACAGAGAGTTTGAGCAGCTGGCCCCAGGAAATTCTAACCAAGTTTATGAGGCCTCAGAGCCTACTTACTTAGCTACTGTGCTCTAGAGTATGATGTGTCCATTAAAAGTGAAATTGTAAAATATTTTAAGTATATACAACAGTAAGGCAGTATGATTAATTAGATATAGCTCACATGCTAAACAAAAATTACATGTGACACTGACTGTCACTGAAATGGTACAGGTGTGGTTTTTAACCCTACTAGGCACTTTTTATCATTAGACAGTAAGTTAAAAGCATATTGCTTAATGCATCCACAACAAATTGTTCTGTCATTGAATTCCATAAAGCTCACTTCTCTGAAGTCTATAATGGCCTAGCATTTTTGAACAGCCTACTGGGTAGAGGTTCTCTGGCAAATTCTGAATGGCTTTGTACTGAAAGACTAGAAGAATTTTAGTGTATTCTAGCTTACATATGTATTATTGATTTTTAATTAATCTTCAACAACAAATTCATGAGCTCAGAATTTTTGGTTTCATTTTATGAATTTAAAAAACACAAGTTTCAGAGAACATGTATAATATACCCAAGATGTAACTGCTCAGGAGTAGGTGCCAAGCTTTCAAATCAGATTTTTCTAATTGCACAGGCCATGCTTTTCTGAAAGAATTACATTACGGAGATTTTTCTTTTGATATCTGGTCTTTGGTCACATCTGCTGGCTTTTCTTGGTCAGCACTGCCTTTGGTTGGGTTTGGATTCCCACTGTGGCAAACTCTAGTGTATATTCAACAACTCTAACTGGAATAGAGATCAACAGCTGTTCAAAGTGGCATTAGCTCATAACTGAACAATGATTTCATATCAGAGGATTAACTGGGAAGAAATTTAGTTTTTTGGTGACTCCCTTCTTATATCAGATTTTGAACACAATGTATAATAAATCCAAAGAATTTTTTTTGTGGAAACATTTCAGATGTTTATCTATTTTAGTTTCAGATTAATTTGAATATTGTTCATTCTCCAATAACTTTGACATACCATAGCAATTGCCTTATCAAATAAAGTTCAATTAAGAAAGCCATATACCCATTATGTTATTTTTTCTTACTTGACATATTACTTCATTTATAATAGACATTTAGACTTTTTTTAAATTTTACTTTGTACAATTTACATTTGTGTTACAATATATTACATTCAGATTAAATAATTTGATAATGAATTCCAGGAATGCTTATCAGACTTACTATGACTCAATGTGTCTTTTGTAGATAAGGATGGAAGTCTTATGAAGACTACAAGCAGTTTTCCTTTTCCTTTTCCTACTTCAAATGAAATGACATCATTAACTACTGAATTTAATGATTCTGAGCCCTCAAAGAGAAAATTCTATATTGGTATGTGGCAAATATATAGTGAACCTACCAAACCCAGTCTATAATATGTTCTCTTGAATATCATTTATTTTAAAAATTTTGGCTTTTATAGGTAACAAAAAATAATAAAAAATGAGTTTGTCATTAGTCTTAAGTGGGCAGTCTTTGAAGGTCCTCTCCAATGATCTAGAGCAGAGGTTCTCTAAATGTTCTTGGATCATGGCACCATTAGTGCCTTGGTAATTTGACCCTAGACCAAAGGGAGTACCAAACAATTCATCTTGTGAAGTACATTGTTTGGTCCAAAAAATGTAATAGTAGTAGTTCATGTACTGTCTAACAGATATTGTAGTTACGTTTATCTATGTCAAACATTTATTATGTTAAATATGCTGCCATATCCCTCTAAATTTGCTGTGACCTCAGGTCCTCTCTGTACATAGTTGGTGTCGCACAGACCTAGAGGTTTGTCTCCTCATTATCTAACAGATCCCAAAGTGCCTATTTTAGAAAGAGGGAGCAGAGATAAATATGTGAGTTTCATATTATTTTCAATTAACTGTTTAAACATTTTTTTCTGAATATGGCTAATTTTGCCATTTTTCCTTTTTATTGAATGGACCACATCACCTTAAATGTTGTGAGATTTTTAATGAGTGTGTACTTGTGTCATTACATAGGCAGATCTTTCTTTAAAAATGTGATAAAATTATTTTATATTATCGAATATTCCACTACCTCAGAGTGCTTTGTGTTTTACTTAAAGTGCTTTATATGAATAAAAAGCCATTTTGAATCTGAAGCCCATTTTTTATTTCTTTCAGGCTTTTAATTGAGGTGTAATACTGTCTAATAAGTAAAATCAAAAATTGTCAAGATAGTTTGCATATGTTGTTGAAAATGAAAGATTCCATTTTGTGGAATGTTTTCAGATACTATTTTGGCACAAAGAAATTTAACTGTTTTCTTTGTTGAAATGTATCTCTTTTTAGGCATTTCTGTTGGGTATGTGAAAATAAATATGTTTTCATTTACTTTAAGATACAGTAAATTGTTTCAGAATTTATTCTCTGAGAGAGTAGAATAATTAGTAGAATGGGATTTCTTCGTCTATGTACAAATTGCAATAGCTGACAGAATATTTTACTCTATTGACAGAATAACCCATATTTACTCACATATGTGAATTTTAGGAATGGGAATCTCATATGAAAATTTGATATTGGACAAAAGTGAAACATCAAAGAAACAAGATGATGATGAATCTGTAGTTACAGAGGAGAAAAACGAGCAATTCTTTTCTCCTGAAGAAGGAACAAAGGCATATAAGTTCTTTCAGAAGGTTGTGAATGCAGCTCAGACCTGGTTCAGTCTGTTTGGGTGGCCTGAAGGACCTCATTCTTTTTCTATACCAGAGACTATAAGAAGGTGATGGTTACGTGTTTTTCCAAATCCTTTGCTTTGTATCATATAACAAAATAGAATCTATTCGTTGGGATAATTTTAACCAAAATTCAATATTAAATAATTTATTCTAAGCTAATAATTTATGAGGGAATTGTTAATAAAAGGAAAAAAGATGCAAATATAAATTCTTTAGTATATGTGTAATTTTTAATTTCTTCTAAACATCTGATGATTTTAGACAAAGTCTGAATATTTCTGTACCTCGGTGTCCTCATCTGTGAAATGAGAAGGGGAAAATATTGAAACATTTGGCAACTGCATTTTCACATGAATAAAATATCAGTCCTAGATCTAGGGTATAGTCAAGTAGACCATGGTATTGGTGAACAAGAAGGGCTCACTTTTCTTTGTATCTAACTCCTCTTTACCAGTACATTTACCTCACTTCTTTCTTGTAGGATTGCATTGGTTATATCAAGCCACTTAATTATGTTCTTAATTTAAACAGAATTTTTTGTCCCTACCCAGTTCAGCTGCTCCACAGGAAAAAAGACCTAGTAATCTTCTCTCATAAAGATTACAGTCTAGGAAACCGTATGGGGCAGTTCTACTCTGTCGCATTGGGTCGATATGAGTTAGAGTTGACTACACAGCACACAACAACAACAATAATAGTTACAGTGTTGCCAGTATGGTGGAGCCTCAGAGCTTCTCTACCTTCTTTCTCAGCACTGAGGGGTAATTTTCTGGCACTATAGGGAAGAAATCTGATCTCTGCAGCTGGAAAGACAATGTAGAATTTTTACATCCATATTCAAGTGTGAGCTAGGTTGAGCTAGGTCTGTAGTTTTTCTATATGTCATTTTTTCAGTTTTTTATTAATATAACAATGTTAGCTTCATAGAATAAATTAGTTCATATTTCATTTTTGTCTATGCTGCAGGAAAATTAATTCAGCAGATACCCTGAAAATTTATAGGCTTGATCATAAAATCATCTAAGTCCAGGAAATTTTTAGGAAAAAAAAATTTTTTAACTTTATTGTGCTTTAGGTAAAAGTTTAGCTCAAGTTAATTTTTCATTCAAAAATTTATATACATATTGTTTTGTGACATTGGTTGCAATCACCACAATTGGACAGCACACTCTCCATTTCCACCTCAGGTTCCCAATGTCGATTTGTCCAGTTCCTGTCCCTTCCTGCCTTCTTGTCTTGCTTTTGGACAGGAGTTTCCCACTTGGTCTCATGTATTTGATTGAACTAAGAAGCATGTCCTCATGTGTGTTTTGCTTTGTTTTGTTTTGTTTGTTTTATAGGCCTGTCTAATCTTTGTCTGAGAAGTGGTCTTCGGGAATGGTCTCAGTTCTGGGTCAGAGTGTCTGGGGGCCATAGTCTCAGGGGTTCCTCCAGTATCTGTCAGACCAGTATGTCTGATCTTTTATCGTGAATTTGAATTCTGTTTTACATTTTTCTCCCACTGTGTCCGGGACTCTCTATTGTGATCCCTGTCAGAGCGGTTGGTGGTGGTAGCCGGACACCATCTATTTCTTCTGGTCTCAGGCTGGTGGAGTCTCTGGTTCATGTTGTCCTTTAGTCATTTGGCCTAATATTTTCCTTGAGTCTTTGGTTTTCTTCATTCTCTTTTGCTCCAGATGGGTTGGAACCAAAGATATAACTTAGATGGCCAATCACGAACTTTTAAGACCCCAGCTGCTACTCATCAAAGTGGGATGTAGAACATTTTCTTCACAAACTATGTTATGCCGGTTGACCTAGATGTCCCCTGAGACGATGGTCCCCAGCCCCCAGCCCCAGCTACTCAGTCCCTCAAAGTGTTTGGATGTGTCTAGGAAGCTTCTATACTTTTGCTTTGATCCAGTTGTGCTGACTTACCCTATATTCTGTGTTGTCCTTCCCTTCACTGAAGTTGACACTTGTCTACTATCTAGTTAGTGATTTCACCTCCCCCTCGCCCTCATAACCATCAAAGAAGGTTTTGTTTTCTGTCTGTAAACCTTTTCTTGAGTTCTTATAATAGTGGTCTCATATAGTATTTGTCCTTTTGTGACTGACTTATTTCATTTAACATAGTGTCCTCCAGATTCATCCATGTTGTGAGATGTTTTGCGGATTCATCATTGTTCTTTATCTTTGCATAGTATTCCATTGTGTGTCTGTACCGTAATTTATCTATTCATCTGTTGATTAGCATTTAGGTTGTTTCCATCTTTTTGTTATAGTGAATAATGCTGCAGTGAACATGGGTGTGCCTGTATCTACTCTGGTGACAGCTGTTATTTCTCTAGGATATATGTATTGTTACCAATATTTGAACCCCCTCCCCAGTGATACCTTCATTACTACATTGCCTGAAATCATCCCGTGTTTCTAATCAGAAGTCTAATGCCATGTTTTGTGAGTAACGTGTTCATGCTCTCAGACTTTTCTATGGTGCCCACTTCTCTGCTATCTGAAATTAATTGAAATAAATTCTGTGTGTGAAGATCTTATATATCATTCAACCTGCTTGGTATTTTATAGGCCCTTCACTTAGAAGGAAACCCTAGTGGCATAGTGGTTAAGAACTGCGTCTGCTAACTGAGAGGTCAGCAGTTTGAATCCATCAGGCGCTCCTTGGAAACTCTATGGGGCAGTTCTACTCTGTCCATAGGGTCACTAGGAGTCGGTATCGATGGATGGCAACAGGTTTGTTTTTTTTGTTTGTTTGTTTTTGTTCTTTCACTTAGAAGCCTTCCCTAGGGGGTGCAAACTGTTAAGTACTATGCTGCTAACCAAAAGGTTGGTGGTTTGAGTCCACCAGAAATGCCTTAGAAGGAAGGCCTTGCAATCTACTTCTGAAAATCAGCCACTAAAAACCCTGTGGAGCACAGTTCTACTCTGACACACATGGGAGTGCCATGAGTTGGAAATCACCTCAACAGCAACTGGTTGGTTTGTTTGTTTGTTTGATTGGTTTTCATTTAGAAAACTAATGTTTTGACAGTTCTTTGCTTCTATTTCTGGTGACTGTTTCCTTCCTCCTTTTTTCTCTATTCTTTTTCTGAATATCGTGTTAGGACATTGTATCTGCTTGACGAATCCTTTATATCCCTCTCAATTATATCTTATGTTTTTTCATCTTTTTTTCCTATATTTTGCTCTCTTTTACTTGTACCTGTAGTATATACCCCTTGCCATTGAGTCATTTCCAACTCATAGTGACCTTATATGACAGAGTAGAACTGCCCCATAGCGTTTCCAAGGAGGGCCAGTGGATTCGAACTGCTCATCTTTTGGTTAGCAGCCATAGCTCTTAACCACAGCCCCACCAGGGCTCTTTTACTTGTAGCTATCCCTTTTTTCCAACTCGAAGACAACGGGTTTGGTTTTTGGTTTTATCCTTTATTTCCTCTTCCAGGCTTCAACTAAATTTTAAAGTGGTATTTATAGTTGTATTTTCGAAGACCTGCGTTATTCTTTAATTATGCTCGCCTTTCTTTCCTTCCTCCCTTCTGTCCTTCCTTCCTTCCTTCTCTCGTGATAGCAACCTATTTTTGTATTATGGATGCATGCTTTCTCAAATATCTCTTTTACAGTATGAACTTTTTTCCTGAATTTTCTTTTTTGTGGAATTATTTTATTTCTCTCCCAGGTCACTTGTTCTTTCTTTCTTTATTTTCTTTTCACCTTATGGTTATCCATAACATTTTTGGTCTTTGGTTATCATTTATTGGTATATATGAATGAAGGACTTGGATGTAGATATAGAGAGGAGAGATGAGTTTCCCTGGCCACTGTGTAGATCTATTTTCCCATCAGATCTTTTCCCCATTTAGAAGATAGATAGAAATCTCCAAGTAAGTGGATGAGTCATGGCAGCAGGAATGCTTGCAGCTGTCAAGCTCATTGATAAATTTAGTAATACCAAATTAAAGTGTCACCTCCGTTTGTGAGCAGCCTGTCCATTCATACCCGTTCTTTCCAACTCACTACCCTGCAAGTCTGCTGCCAGCAGTGTCCAACAGAATCAGAGAAACTTCTCTTGAGGTTCAAAAATTTATTAAAATTAAATTGATAAGAATAACTGATAGAGTTGAATTCCTTGATTTTTTTCACATCTACACATTACTGTAATAATAATAAAACATTTTACAGATCTTATTTTCAAAATAATTTCCTTCCTTAAATATTTCACACTTACATGCTGTTTGTAATGGTTCTTTACCTGGAAAGATAGAACATAAGTACACTAGCCAATAGCCTTCTGTGTGAGCACATTTTCAGTCTCCAAAGCAGTGGGAGAAGGTCTCATAATTAAAAAAGAAACTTAAAATTATTTAAGAATATCTTAATTCCTAAACAAGAGACGGATATAATAAAAAATTATCAAGATTTTAATTAATATAAATACCTGATTTGTGGGATGCATATACATACAGATATTAAAGTTTTTGCATCATAATTTGTGCTTCATAAATTAAGCATATGCCTAAAAAATGTTGCCTTTTTCTTTGAAAAACCTTTGAATGCTAATATTAGCTCATTAAACTCAGTTAATCCTTACATGTTAGAAGAACTCTGAAGGCCCCAGCTAGTTTCCTCTTGACTTTTTTTTTATCAGAAAATAAACATAGACAGAGGTTCACTAACCAAGTACAGCTCCTCAATTTACTTGTAAAGCAAACCCCTGTGTAAGCATCACATTGCCAGCACCCCAGAAACCCCTTGTGACCCTCCCAACATTACTAAACCTCTGCAACAGAAAGATAACTACTATTCTGACTTTTATAGTAATAATTTCCTCACTTTTTCTTAAAAAATAGTTTTACTACCTAAGAATGAATCTTAAAATACATAGTTTAGTGTTTGTTTTTAATTTCAATAAATAATTTTGCAATATAACATCCGTACAGAGAAGTGTGTATAGGATTATCACTATGTGAGCACACGTATGTTGACACCAACTAGACCAAGAAATAAAGCATGGCCAGTATCCCAGAAGCCCTCCACCCCTCTTGTC